CTTCACTCCCTATCCTTAGTTCAGGTGTTAACGCAGACCAGTCCTGAAGCAACAACTTGCATTTAGAGGGAGAGAAGCGCATTCCAAACATCCTGGCATTGTTGCTCAGTGCTACCAGAAGACTCTGCATTTTGTCAGCGTCTTCACCAAACAGGACTATGTCATCTGCGTATTCTAAGTCGATAAGTGGACCTCCTGGAAGGAGACCAATGCCCGAGAACTCAGTCGACGAGAAAGTTATTTCCATCAGTAGATCTATGATGAAGTTAAACAAAAATGGGGAAAGTGGACATCCTTGACGGACACCACTTGAGGTTGCAAAACTAGATGACAGTTCGCCATAAGCTCTCACTCGACTAGTAGTGTTCGAGTAAAGAGCCTTTACAAGGTTTATGTACTTCTGGGGTACGCCTTTCAATGACAGAAACTGCCACAGATTGAAGTAATTGTGAGACAACTCTAACAGCAGCTCCTTTATTAATAACCAGAGGACCCATCAACTAGTCTCCATTACTACAATTTATTGATGGTCTTTCACTATCGTCGGCAGAAAACAATACTACAGTAATCTGATAAAGCTCCAGTTTCTGTCACATCATTTGCCAATATCGACGGATTTTCTTGTACCAAAAGTAGTGGGATCCTATCACTTTGAATTAGGCTCTTTGTATGCGTGAACAATATTTCGGACCCTTAATCAGTTGTTTTTTTATACAAACGTCTAGCCTTACTTATCAACGCTTTGCATGAGTTCCTAGTCTTATAATGAATGGATCTGCACTGTTTAAAGCCTGTTGAGATAAACACGTCCTAACGCTTTCCCTACTTCAAAGAACTTTCTGGACCTCTAGTTATCCATGATGGGGAGTTATTGGGTCTACGTGGTTTTAGGCATAGTATAAACAGGGACGTGACCAAGCCATGTAGACCATGCTTTTTCAGTCGATGAGCTGTCGTTTACTGACCAGTCCGTTGTTACAGCATACTTCTGTATAGCTGTTATGTTCGCTCTCCATACATTTGGTTGTGATATAACTTGATCATATACTATATCACGAGTCTTCTCTTCAGTGTATCGATCTGATGCTCAGACAGCACTCATTTGTTCAGTACTTTCCAAGGCTTGATTACTTGATGGGAACTGTACACCCTGAGGATTTTTTTCGTCACTTGTTCCTAAGCTTTTCCACTAAATCTGAGTTTTCATGACAACTAAAAGAAATGAAGATGTACCATGTCCAAAATTATTTTTTGGCAATATATGCATCGTGATTAATCCACATATTTGATACGAATCCTCAAGTCGCTCATTGCATGATAAGCTACACTCGTAGTTGTCGGTGTTCTGTACTCCAAAAGTTCTCAGTCGCGTCGAAGCAGTGTCTTGTAACCTGCATACAATTATCTAGTTTTGATTACACTAAGGCTCCGTTTGCCGAGGTGAACATTTGTTGGTCTATCTTAAAGTTCATCATAACTCCCAGACGATTCTGAGCCCTTGACTCCGTGACTTACCATGGCCATATTATCGTGACTTAGGGATGATGGTACGAACGTTTATCCAATGTCATAGTTAGTGCCACGTACGTATCTAGCGTGTATAGAGACACTTAGACGGACTGTTGGCCATTCGCTACACCTTAGAACAGCTTAAAAGGTTTTTCTTGGGTGCGTGTACAACATCCTCTTCTGTTTATCGTCAAGACTCAAAGAAAATCTGATAGGTAGTCATAAAATATGATGATCTTATTGCATAATCCTTTCAAGGGGTAAACGAACTAACCCACTGTACTAACGCAACTGAGTGACGAAATCGGATTTAAACGTAGGCTCAGTGATACTAACGGCTTTAAGCAATGCTATTTCGGGATGTCTCTTTGATACAGTACTTCAATGGCAGTGGTTGTATGCACATGGCCATGTGAGAGCATTTCGAGGAGAGCTGACTCTCTCCGCCCTCGGCATTTGGCTTATATACAATAGTAAGGAAAACTCGTTGTGTTGCACGTAAAGGCATGCACTTTGGAACTCAACACGAATAAAGGCTCTGATATATATCAAACGGAATCAGAAGTGATCAGTAAGAAGTGTACAAGTCCTAATTCACGTCTTGGAAAGTATTTCTTTAGTGTCGGAGATACATGCATTTTAAAAGAATTTCTCGTTAACGTGACAGTTTATCACAATTCATTTGTTCTTCATAGGTTCGGTGATTAGATAGCACCGAATGGCCATTCCGATAGCATAGGAACATTGAGGTCACATTAGATTGTGATTCTTCGTAGCTGGCGACTTGGTCAAAATAGGTTCTCTACCACGAATGAATATAATATAATATAAAGTCTGCGGAAGGCCTAACAGACTCACAATTGTTACTGAAACTCCAAGTATAATGAGGCACGGTCAGAAAATAAAGACAGGTGGTAAGGATTTATTTAATCCCCAAAACAAATCAAGCTGATGTCTGGATACACTTTTTTATATGATTTTTTTGACGTCAGATTAACACTAGAGTTTATGTAATCTGAACAAAGTATTAAGGGTAAGTTGGTCAATAACTTATCATTTGAATATACATTAATGGTATCACATTGGTCAGTCTCCACATTCAACAAATGTTACTCATATTAGATGCAACAGATTAAGATCCAAATCGGTTAGTGGTGAGGAGAACCACTCCTTATGTATCTGTAACTCGAATATGATATTCTGTGTGAAGTAATGTCATAACACCCTACATCATCAGTCAAGGAAATATTTTTACTCAGGAAGTTTACCTTAATAGCATAATTTTCGACTAACTCTCATCCAAGGCTAACCTAGGGATGATCTAATTGCGACTCGTTTTTGCAAATACGAGTAAAAGTCTTACAGTGGAGAAAGCCACATACCCGATCTAAGTAGGTGGTGAAGTTCCATCATTTACCTGTCATATGATACAGACAACTGCCTATACAAATTTACATGTACCTCCTGAACCGGTTACACCGACAGGACAGGAAGTCCCTACGTTTGATTTTAAAACACATCCCAAAATGTCCTAGGTTAATGAGACTAGCCGCTTTCAGCAATACTATTTTCAGATAACTCTTTGATACAGAACAACACGTTAATATACTGTGATCTCTTAGTTATTCATCGATAATCAAACTCTATTCTTCTTAACGCCATCTGGGGCGTAGCTGTTGTTAAAGATAATTTAATCATGAGGTAAGAACTTTCGAAGCTATTTTTCTATGATTTGATTTATATATATTAACTGCATGTTTATTAGGTATCTCTCAACGCGTGATATATCTAATATGGATTTTAGAATTAGAACTCAACTTCAGCTTAATCTGTAGTTAGTTGTAAGCTTTCAGTTATTTTATATTCCCCAAGGTTTTATGAAGGCAAATTTGTGTTTGGAATTTTGTTTATTGATTAGGATATTCAATAGTAAGTAATAAGTCTCGTAAATGATTCATAAACACAAGTAGAGATGATACATGCTTTTTTAAAATCCTACGAATAATAACTACTATGGCAAGGAATGAAGAGAAATGATAAAAATCACTCCCATTTAGTATTTCTCTGTCATGTTATTCTGTACAAAACACTATAATGTGAAGTTAGGGGAAATAGTTTCTTTCAACAAATTAGTTGTGTAATGTAACGTAAACTTATAGTTAAATGGCAATATCAGGGGAGTTCACCCAGTATGTAAAAAATGACTTTAAGAAACCACAGTCAAGAAGATATCTATTTTTGTACATTTTGAATATCAATGGTGACAATGTGGCCGCAACAGTAAGTCAAAAAAAACTATAGTGAACAGCATGTTTTTTGCAGCCAAGCTGTACAAAACAATATGTCTTTTACTGCGTCCAAAGTATGACAGGTACTCCTTCCATGTTACTGTCAAATACGGAAACATACTTACACGTGTCTGCTAAGCCAAATGAATTGATAGAACAGAAAATGGCTCTTTTTTAACTCTAGGAACATATTTCATAAAGCAATAGCTCAGTGATACTAACGGCTTTAAGCAATGCTATTTCGAGATATCTCTTTGATACAGGACATCACGTTGATATATTGCGATATCTCAGTCATCAATCGATAATCAAACTCTATTCTTCTTAACTCCATCTGAGCCGTAGCTGTTGTTAAAGATAACTATGAGGTAGGACGTTTTGAAGCTATTTTTCTACGATTTGATTTATATATATTGACTGCATGTTTGTCAGGTATCTTGGCTTTATTATTTCCTTATTATCCTAAATATAAGCTTTTAGTTGAGCCGTAATTTGCCGCCATAGCATTTTCCACTCATAAACTAGGACCGATCATTTGTGCACCTAGTATTCCGTTTTCCCACCATTAGTGTTGCTGTTCAGTGTTAATACTGTAACCCAACTGGTCTGCTGCGTATTCTGGTCTTATGTGTATACAAATGAATATCTGGAATTAAATAACGATCTTGGAGTCGTGAACATTAGTCTTCAGTTCTTTGTTCGGAGCTAGTTAACATGGGCCAACCGTGAGGCAAAGAGTATCAGTCTTTCTCGTCCTTGCTGCGTATTGGTTGCTTAAAGTCATCTACATTTATTGGGTCATTGTACGGCATCACATTAGCGATCAAACTTCTTAAGCCTGATCTGTGTATCCGTAAGTAAACAGCAACAAATCTCTCCTTAGTAATTAAATTATAGTCTCACCGTCATTTCTCTAGAAACGGCTCTTTACATAATGGTACCATCAATCGTTTCAAACTGAATGCTTCTTGTAAATCCAACGTTTCGCCTGGCAATCTGGTCCAAGCTTTTTCAAGGAAAATGCTTCTTGTTTTCATGTCGAAGCCACATTCGTCAACAATTTGACCTGTCTGTTTCGCCTGTCACCAATATTGTATCAGGCGATTGGTCAATTTGATTTTACTCAATCAGATTGCAGAACGAACAAATGACCTTGTGAGAATAAAGTGTGTGTAATTCGGTGTGGGTTATCATTCGTGGGTAATGGGTCGTGAGGACGAGGAGTTTGGTCTCGTAGTAATAGGTGCAGGTCTGGGTCGTACTGGTACCAATAGTTTAAAAATTGCTCTAGAGTTGCTTTATAAAAAGCCCTGCTATCACTTAAAGGAAATATACTTGCATCAACATTCACACATCACGAAATGGATGGAACTTGATAGGAAATTGAATGATTCACCAGATAAAAAACTTGATAAAGCTCTGTGTCATAAAATTTTCAAAGGATACACGGCTGCCATTGATCATCCTTCATGTGCATACTACAAGGAGTTATTAGAACATTATCCTAATGCAAAAGTGAGTCTATAGTTGGTATTTATTTCCATATATTTTTATTGTAAGGATAAAATATACAGAGATGCTTCATCGTTCATTACATTTAATAAACTATAATATGCCAATACTAGCTTCATCGTTTGTTCGTCTGGTTCTTTTAGTTACTTCCTTGAGTATCCAAATGCGAAGTGTAACAGCTTATGCACTACAACGCTTTGGGTTGGCACAGATAATTATTAATTTTTTGTTTTGCGTGTTCACTTCACCAAATTTTCGCAGTCGAGACGAAAACTGTAGTTTATGTTCTTCATCGCGGTGGCTTCTTTGTGAATGCTACTTTGTTTTGTATAGATTGGAGTACCATAAGATAGGGACTGACAAGCGTTGTCAGTTGGATACAACAGCCAGCACTTGGTCAGCTTTCTAGACGTAACTGACCTGCACTTTGTATTAAGTGCATCAGATCTATATAACTAAAATTTAAAACAATCTCATACATATATTAAAAATTCATTCGTCACATCACATCAGTTACAGTTTGAAAAGGACTGGAGGCTGAGAGATCTGTGTTAGTCGTGGGAATGGCGGTATCTCAGTTGATCCAACTTTCTTTTGAATGCGTCTACAGATGAAGCTTCAATCACGTGTTGAGTTAGTGAATTCCATTGGTTGATGACTTGATGGGAAAGTCAATGGTCAGCTAAGTTATTTTTTCTGGGCTTGTGAGCTTCCTTACAGTGTCTTTGTAAATCCTCTCGAAAGACAAGAAAGATGACAGCATATCAGATGCCAACATATCATTAATTAGTTAGAAACTGATCAGGTCACCTGTGGTTCGTCTATATGACAAGGGAATTAGGTTTAATTTAACCAAACTAACATCATCACCCATGCTATTCTGGGAATCTGCTTAATTGCTGTTCTTTTAACCCTCTTCAACAAATCACTATCGCTTTCTAATCGGAGACTAGTCGCTTGTATACAGTACTCGAGTTTAGAATGGATGAATACTGTATACAAAGTCAAAAAGATTTTAGCATCGACATGACTAAAGGCCTCAGGTATTGACTATAGAGTTCTAAAACCTTGACGGGATATCACACGGCAGTGTGCATTATTTTTCAAGTCTTGGCGATCGATAACTTCTAGATCATTGCGTCCCCAGACAACAAACATATGGTTAAGTGTTATCCTCCGTGTATGTGTCTGTATCTTGGTGACCAGTATGCATCATAATGTACTTGGAAGCATTTATCGGCAACTGCCAAGTCTCAAACCACTCAGATAATTTCTTTAGGTCATTTTAGAGGTCTAAACTGTCACTCTTACCTTTTATGGCTCTCCATATCTTGAGATTGTCAGTGTATAACAAAACCGATTATGATAGGAAAGCTGGAAGCCTTACTGAAGCCAATATAGGCTTCATCCGTTGGTAAAGTTTGATTTTTATAAATACACCAAGTTCCACGGTCTACTAGGAGATTTGTGAGACATGAATAACATGTTCTAAAGCCGTGCTACTTTTTGGAAATAATCCGGTTGTCGTCGAGATTCCCCCTCATAATTGGTCAATGTGAGATCTTTTAAGGATGATTCGGAGTTTGGGTCGTGCCTAGTTGCTCTTTTCACATGTTGCTCTAAGCTACATGTGATAACCCTGTCAACTAGGTTTTGTTTTAAGAATTATCTGATAACTCAGTCCTCGGACCTTCCCATTCTACCATAGGGTGCATTAAAGTCTTTCAAGATAACAACATCGACCACTTAATGACTAAGTGTTGGAACCGTCTAGCGAAACCTAATTCTCCTCACCGTAAACCAAACCAATCAGAAGCTCCTGTCCTTTGCATTTCAGGCAGTAAATAACTAATTCACACGTCTCACTTTCACAGAATATCACTGACAGCAAAAAGAATATTTCTAGTGAATAGAGCTACTCCTCTCTTACACTTCTGGGTTCTGTCAGCTCTTACTAATGTAAAACGTTTTAAATAAATTTCTCTACTGTTTCAAGACTGCGTCAGCCAATTTTCTGTGACGGCGATTACATCCGGCTTGATAGAGTCTGTCTGTACACGTAGCTTCAGGCATCTATGTAACAGATCCGAAAATCATTCAGATTGTTTATTTAAACACATAAACATAGATACAAGAAGGCACCAAATAGATATGCGTCACATAAATCATTCGCTTTGTGTGAGGGCTAAGATACTGCTCGGGTGCCTAAACCGAAGAATTATCTGATAACTCAGTCCTCGGACCTTCCCATTCTACCATAGGGTGCATTAAAGTCTTTCAAGATAACAACATCGACCACTTAATGACTAAGTGTTGGAACCGTCTAGCGAAACCTAATTCTCCTCACCGTAAACCAAACCAATCAGAAGCTCCTGTCCTTTGCATTTCAGGCAGTAAATAACTAATTCACACGTCTCACTTTCACAGAATATCACTGACAGCAAAAAGAATATTTCTAGTGAATAGAGCTACTCCTCTCTTACACTTCTGGGTTCTGTCAGCTCTTACTAATGTAAAACGTTTTAAATAAATTTCTCTACTGTTTCAAGACTGCGTCAGCCAATTTTCTGTGACGGCGATTACATCCGGCTTGATAGAGTCTGTCTGTACACGTAGCTTCAGGCATCTATGTAACAGATCCGAAAATCATTCAGATTGTTTATTTAAACACATAAACATAGATACAAGAAGGCACCAAATAGATATGCGTCACATAAATCATTCGCTTTGTGTGAGGGCTAAGATACTGCTCGGGTGCCTAAACCGAAGTAGGTGGCTTTCTTAGGGGGCCACACCCCAAGGAATTGGATGTCGCTGCCAGGATTCGAACGTCGGCTAGTGCGGCCACAACGCAATGCCCTAACCATTAGACCACAGCGACTACATGGAACGGTCTTCCAGTGATTCCAGGTTTTCGATGGTGATCTAGCTTAGATAAACTCGTAAGTTCAACTATTAAGGTGAACAGAAGCCATTTTCACCCATTACATGCTTAACCATAAAAACACTGGTGATTATACTATGTCTAACTCAATTTATCATATCTAACGTAACCAACGGATCAATATGATCTATTTTTGTCTGTTTTCCTGCTGTATTTTTCATCATAACTATATGGTTTCAAATAGAAACATTAGGACTGATTCAATGAATAAATCGTTTAGATTGCTTCATGCTTCATCCAAAGTGGCTTTGGCATAATTCTTTGTCAAAGTCTCACCCGAAAATTCCAAATTCCTCGCCAACATCTAAACTTAGTTCAAGTTCCTTTTTAGCTTCTGGTCTTTTTATACGGTCCGTGAGCGGTAAGGCTTTACGGAAGAAATATCCACATCCCTTCATTTTATGTTTATTCTGTAGTCTTAAGTCCTTCGTTGGGATATTTAGCAGCTTGGTTTGATTTTGTCTATAGACCTTTAGCGAGGTGACCCTAGAGCTTGCTTGAGACACTAGTTGGTTAAGTAGATCTTTTATCAACCCAATGTCCTGGGTTCTGAGCTTTCACTCTCCTTGAATCTACGAAAGACGACTGATGTGTCACCATGATCGGCATTCGATCTCTCAACTACTGTTTGGGTGAATGGTTTTTCTTTAACAACATTCGGTTGTTTCTTATTCCTGATTTGTACCCGCTCATCAGCTTTCATTGGAGTAGCAATCACAGTCTCGTCGCACACACTATAAGATCCTAAATGATTGTCGATGATTTGTGTGGTCATATTTTTGTTTTTTTCTGATAGAAACAGTCCTAGCCTTACGATTAGGTCTTATAGGCGTTTCTTTCCCTCTGGAGGGTGGTAGCCTGTTCCTTGCAAATACTAACTTTAAGCATAAGGAAAAACATCTTTTAACATGGAGACCCCCTAATTCGTCCCAACGTTGGACCCAAGTAGATCACATCGCTATCAGCCACCGATGGAGGGGCTCGATAGAAGACTGTCGCTCATTCTGGAGCACATGCTTAGATTCAGATCATGCTCTAGTACGAGCGCGTATTCGCTTGCGTCTTACTGGACGTAGGGAAGACGCTGCAAGGAAACCTCTTAGGGGCCTACTTAATGATAGTCAAGCTAAGAGTATATTTCAGGAACAACTAGGAAAACAGTTAAGCAGCCATGTATGTGATGCCCACCCCGAGGCAGCATGGGATGATATCCGAAAAGCTGTGGAGACAGTAGTGATATCTGCTAGTAAGGTAAACCAGAAGATTAGAGAGCAACACTGGATCTCAGCAGCATCTATCGCACTGATAGATGCTCGGAAACTCATTCCACCCGGCTCTGAACATAGTGAAGAGCGGAGTCAGCTTAAGCGCAAGCTGACAAGAAGTCTACGCAATGATCGCGAACAGTGGTGGGTGGCGAAAGCAAGAGAGATGGAAAAGGCAACGGCAATAGGTAATAGCAGACAATTGTTCAGACTCGTTAAGGAAACCGGAATTCTGAACCCGACCGTTAGCGAAACAATTTCAGAGAAAGATGGACATATTATTCATTCCCAATCCAGGAGATTGGATCGATGGGCAGAACACTTCAGGGATCAGTTCAACTGGCCTTCAGCCACACTTCGGTTTCCCACGATCCCCAGTCAACCTGAATGGCAAGTTAATGTAGGTCCTCCGTCTCTTTACGAAGTTGAAAAAGCCATAGGAAATCTGAAACGAGGGAGAGCAGCAGGCCCTGACAGGTTTACTCCTGAGATTTTTAAGGATGGTGGTCCAGTATTATCAATGAGATTAACTGAGGTCTTAGGTAGAATTTGGGAACTGGGCGTAATTCCATCTGACTGGTCTCAATCACTGATTGTGCCAGTCTATAAGAAAGGACAAAAGTCCTCTTGTGACAATCATAGAGGAATCAGTTTGACCAATATAGTGTCTAAAATATTAGCCTCAATAATACTTCGACGCCTAATCAAAGCTCGTGAAGAGCAGATTAGAGAAAACCAGGCCGGTTTTCGACCTGGACGTGGTTGTATAGACCAGATATTCACACTACGTCAGG